CGCCACTCAAACCCTATGGCTAGCAAGGAAACATCGACAGAGATTGGAAGACGAGTGAAGAGAAGTGGAGCATTGTCAGAAGTCGTGCCAGAAGACGAGCCCCTCAGGTTGGAAGAGACTCAAAATATGAGTGAGGAAGAGCTGCCTTCTCAAAGTAGAATCAGCCAGAAAGACCCAGATGCAGTAAAGCCTGTGGGAGTAAAGCCTTTGGGGCCTTCCTTTGCTGAAGGAACAGGACTCAAATGGAGAAGAAACAGCTGCAAACATCAATTACCAATTGGAACTTGGAATATATGGAGTATGAATCTAGGGAGATTGGAAATCATTACAAATGGGATGGAACACCTAAAGATCAATATTCTGGGCATTAGGGGGAGCGGAAATGGACTGGTATTGGCAATTCTGAATCAGAATATCATATGGTTTTCAAGGCCAGGAATGACACGATCAAAAGGAATGCCATTGTGTTCATTGTCCAGACGGACTTTTCAAGATCTATCTTGAAGTGCAATACTGTCTGTGATAGGGTCACATCTATCCACCTTCAAGGAAATCCAATCAAGACAGCTATTATTTAAATTTATGCACCCTTCGCTAAAGTTAGTGATGAAAGAAGTTCAAGTTGCACTGAAGGTATTAGCCCAAAATATGGTTCCAGGAATTGACAGAATACCAACTGAAATGTTTCAACTAGTTAATGAAGCACTGGAAGCATTTACTAATTTATGCCAAAAAATTGGGAAGATGACTACTTGGCCAATTGACTGGAAGAGATCCATTTTGGTACCCATTCCAAAGAAAAGTGACCCAACATAATGCTCAAATTATAGAACAATATTATTAAAATCACATGCAAGCAAAATTTTGCTGAATATTATCCAACAATGGTTGCAACAATAGAGGTTAGGGCCATATCCAGAAGAGAATGTGGAACAAGAGATAATATTGCTGATGTCAGATGGATTTTGGCTGAAAGCAGAGAATATACCAGAATGATGTTTGCTTGTGTTTCATTGCCCATGCAAAGGCATTTGACTATGTGGATCATAACAAATTATGGATAATCTTGAGGAGAATGGGAATTTCAGAACACTTCATTGTGCTCATGTGAGACATGTACATGGACCAAGAGGCAGATGTAGAAACAGAACAAGGAAATGCTGCATGGTTTAAAATCAGGAAAGGTGTGCACCATGGTTGTATCCTTTCATGGTACTTACTCAATCTAGCTGTTGAACAAATCATCAGAGAAGTTGTATTTCATGAAGAGGATGTAGCATCAAGATTGGAATAAGGCTTATGAAGAACCTGCGATGTGTTTGCTGAAAGTGAGGGGGATTAGAAAGACCAACGATTACAGACTTCAATATGAATTCCAACTCAGTGTAAAGAAGACCCAAATCCTCACAACTGGACCAATAGGTAACATCATGGTAAATGGAGAAAAGACTGAAGTTGTCAAAGGTTCTATCTTGCTTGGATCCACAGTCAGTGCTCATGGAAGAAGCAGTCAAGAGATCAAAGGATGGAATGCAGTAGGTAAAAAATCTGTTGCACAGAAATATTCCCACACCCCAGAGTTTCACTGGCATATGATATCACACATATCAGTACTTCAAGCACATCCTGAAGAGATGTACAGTCATCACCACATTCAGTTTTAGAACATTTTCATCATGCTTGTACTCATTGTTATTAGCTCCCCATTTCCGCTCAACCTCCCCATGATCTACCCCCAAGGAACCATTAATCCAGTTACTGATTTACCTTTTCTGGATTTCATATACAAAAAACATTTTCAAAAAAAAAAGAAACAACAAAAATTATGGGCAAAGTAAAAAGATAAAAACTGCATTAACAACTAGAACAAATTTAAATGGATCATAAGGGAGATCAAATGATTATTGCATTTGCAACAATCCACTTTCTGACACATTCCTATTGATAGCAAGGCTACTCACATCCCTGGTTCATGGTCAGAGGGGATTCGCCAGGGGTTTCATCCACTCTTGAAAGTGTTGAAAAGCAAGGATGTTACTCTGAGGACTAAGGTGCGTTGGACCCAAGCCATGATATTTACAATCACCTCAGACGGATGTGAAAGTTGGAAAAGACCAAAGGAAAATCGATTCATTTGAACTACGGTGTTGGTGAAGACTATTGAAAGTACCGTGGACTGACAAAGAACAAACATATCTGCCTTGGGAGAAGTACAGTCAGAATGCTCTCTAGAGGGAACGATGATGAGATGTTGTCTCACATACTTGGGACATGTTATCAAGAGAGACCAGTCCCTGGAGAAGGACATTATGCTTGGTTTAAAAAAAAAAAAAAAGACCCTTGACAAGATGGATTGACAGTGGCAGCCAGGAGGGGCTCAAATATAACAACTGTGAGGACGGTGTAGGACCAGGCGGTGTTCTGTTTGGTTGTACATAGGGTCACTATGAGTCAGAACTGACTTGATGGCATCTAACAACAACAAGTTTCTCATATGCAGTCCCTCTGTGCCTTGTGATTGGCATGACTATATTGGTTGTCTACAAAGGAACATTGCTAAGTTTTAACGTTTACTGATTTTTGTTCAGGACTGTCTTTTAGTCAAGTCCCAATGACACTAGTTTTCATCATCCCCCGACCCTGTGTCGATTTTGGCTCATTGTGACCCTATTGGACAGAGGAGAACTTCTTGGGGTTCCTGAAATTGTGCATCTTCATGGGAATAGACTGCCTCCTCATTCATTCTCTCATAGAGAAGGGCTGCTGGGTATGACATGCACACCTTTGGTCAGTTGCTCAATGTCAAAGCCACAGTGTCTGAGCCACTAGAGCTCTTTAATTCTCATTCTACTGGGAGAGAAAGCCTCTTTTTGGAAAGGAGCGTTGGTGGCACAGTGGTTTAAAGCTCTTGGCTTTAACCAAAAGATGGGTGGTTGAAATCAGGAGACCGATGAAGCAGCGGCTTCTATGAGCAATCTGGATCCTTAGAAACCCTGTGGGGCAGTTCTAGATTGTCCCATGGGGTCTCGATCAGGTTTGACAGGAAGGCAGTGGGTTTGAATTTTGTGGCTGGGTTTTCACTGGTTTTTCCCTGCACACAGTAACACCGCCTCTTTTGTGAGCACAGCTTAGTCCAAGCATCACCATCAAGATACAGACATGCTCCCTGACCCCCAGAATTCTCTCCTACGATGTCAAAACCTCCCCTGTTACAACAGCCAGGCTCTGACAAGGAAGAAGGTAAGACGCACAGGACAATCTTGATGGGTCTGGAATGCACTGGGCTAAGCGCTGGGGTGAGGACAGGAGGGACAGCCAACGGATGCAAGGCTTCTTTTGGGGTGACAAATATGTCACCTGCTGGTGTAGTGGGTGACACCTTGGGATGCTAACTACAAGGTCAGCAGTTTGAAACCACCAGCTGCTCCATGAGAGAAAGAGGGGGCTTTCTACTCCCATAAAGAGTGACAGTATCAGAGATCCACTGGGGGGGGGGGGCGGTAGTTCTACCCTGTTCTACGGGGTTGCTATGAGTCAGAATGGACCCGCCGGCTGTGAGGATTACTTTGCATATGTTCAAGTGCACCTCTTGAGAAACAGGCTAAAAATCTTTGAATTATGCACCTAGAATGGGGGGATTCTATAATATGTGAATAGGATCTTAATATGTTTTTTTAAATTATTATTATTTGGGAGTTAATATGTTTATCATAGTTCAATCCATAGTTCAATCATGTCAAGCAGTCCTGTATATTTGCTACCACCATCAGTTTCCAAACATTCTTTTCCTTCCTGCACCTGCCCACCCCATCCGACCCTCGAAACCCTTATTCTACTTGCTGTCCCTATAGGTTCATCAGTCCTGGGTTTCATTTACCAAAACACAGAAAAACATATAACACAATTTCATGAGGGTGACCTCCCATGACATAATATGTTTTAAAGAAGCCCAAGGGGGGTGCCAAAGTTAAGCTTTTGATCCAAAGCTTGACGGCTCGATGCCAGCTCCCGCAGCAGCTCCGAGCAAGAAAGGCCAGGCAATCTGTCTCTTAAAGATCCCAACCCTTGAAAGCCTCTGTTCTGTTCAGTCACACGGGGGCACCCTGCCTTGTAACAACAGCAACAGAAACAACAACAAGGCTGTGAAACAAAAGGTGTGATAAACAGCACGGCTCCATGGAGGTACCATTGAGGCACAGGTCAAAGCCAGAGGAACAGAAGTCGACAAATGCTTCCCGCGATCAACAACCCCCTCACCCAAACAGATGGCAGAGGGGCTTCTGCCTCATAGCGACCCTACAGGACAGATTCCAACTTCCACACTGGGTCGTCCAAGTTGTCATTGCCATGTACTCCGTCCTGGAACAAGGGCAGCCTGGAGGCTGCTTAGAAACAAGGCTGGTAGGACTTTCTTGGACTTTGGGCATGTTATCCGGAGAGAGCAGTCCCTGGAGAGGAACATGGCGCTTGGAAACTTGAACGAGAGGAAAACCTTTCACAGGATGAATGGGCACAGCGGCCCCAACCATGGGCTCAAAGGTAACCGCCATGGGGAGGGCATGCAGGACTCAGGAGTGAGAGCCCCTGTTCTCTATGCAGTGTGGCGCTCCGAGGGGAAACCAACTGGAAGACGGGACAACAACATTATTCATGGAACCCCACAGCCACATCTTTCTCCTGTGCGGCTGCTGGCGGATTCGAACCACGGAAGCTCTGGTGAGCCATCACGTGCCTAACCATGGAGTCACCAAGGCTCACTCTGTTTACACCCTTTAATGAAACGGTGCTGACTTCGGTGCTAATCTGAGAGACAGCAGGGAGGGCTGGTGGACAGGGCGCAACAGGTATGTCAAAGCCTGCGTGCGGAGGGGTCCACACAGGGAAGCAGACCTGTGGAAGGGGGTGAGCCCTGCTGTCCTTCCCAGAACTTGGAGCCCCTGTCCCCAGTCTTGGGACACGCCTACCCTGCCACCGGGGTGGGGGTGGGTGGGCGCACTTACTGTGGCGGTGCCGGAGACGGCCTGCGCGCTGGTGTCTGCGCTCTGCTCCGAGTGCGTCTGGGCGGGAGGGTACAGGTTTAACGTGTGCTCGGGGACGGTGCTCTGGCCTGTGTACTCTGGGGCGGGGTGTGGGTGCGGGGCCGTGTACTCCGCGGGGATGCCGTTCTGGGGGGGCGCGAACTGGGCGGAAGCGTAAGGCTGGGCCATGGTGTCCGGGGCTGCGGCGGCGTCCTGGTTACCCTGCAAACCAAACAGAGGGCGAGAAGGTGAGAAATCTTCGGAAGGACCGAGCCCTGCAGGTCCCTGAAGCTGCCTCTCAGGAGCCCCCACTGCCGGTGTGCACGGGCTTGCTCGCAACGTCTTCATCCTCCTCGGACCCCACACTGCCCATCCTTGACCCCGTCTCCCAGAGGCGCAAGTCAAGCCACATAGCCGAGTAGGCAGGCCCCTTTCACATCGTCCTTGGAGAAACAGGGAGCCCTACTGTCTACGGTCAGAGAAAAAAGCAAACAGATCTGAGCTTTAAAGTGCCAGGAGGGATGGAATTGAACAGGTGCCCCCCCCACACACACACACACTTTTTTTTTTAAGCATTAGGACTTATTTGACGACTCTTTCTGAAGTCCTCACATATAGGAGAGGGCTTCAAAAAATTCTTGGGGAAAACCCTGCCTCCTATTTTCATTCCATGTTTCCCCAGGGCTGTTGGGGGCCCCTCGTATCGTCTGTACCCTGAGCGTGAGCCCTTTCCAGGAGTGTTGTGCGTGTGGTTGTGGTCCCAGTGCTACCGAGAGGAGTTCAGCTCTTCGAGACTCCAGATAGCAGAGGTGAACTGCCCCAGGGGCGTCTTCCAGGCTGTGATCTTTAAGGGAGTAGTTTGCCAGGCCTTTCTTCTGTGGTGCAGTTGGTGGGTGGAACCCCCAGCCTTGTTAGCAGAGGAGTGCTTACCTGTGATACCACCAGGGCTCCTGGGGAGGGACATGTCCTGTGAGCATTTAAAATGAATCAAAGTGTCACGTACTTTGGACGTGCTCTCAGGAGGGACCAGTCCCTGGAGAAGGACATCGTGTTCGGTAAGGGGAGGGGCAGGCAAAAAGGGGAAGGCCCTCCAGGAGATGGATCGACAAAGAACTGCAACTATGGGCTCACAGCTCGTCACCATTCTGAGGATGCTGCAGGACCAGGGACTGAGCGCTTCCTTCTGTGGGACAAGGGTCACTATGATTCAGAACTCATTCTGCAGCACTGACCAACAACAGCGGGGTTTCCTGTAGCATATGTGCGTGTGAGTCAGTGTAGGTGTGTGCGTGTGTAGTGTTACCAGGAAGGCAGCCAATGGACATTGATGGCCTGAGAAAGGATGACCCTCTGGTCCACCCGGCACTGGCTGCAGGCTGAGCCTCATGAGTCAGTGGCTCCCCGCCCCTGCACCTGCTCTCTGTTATAAACACAGAGCATTATGTAACCGTCCCTCCCGCAGATCTGGGCATAACATGCAGGGTGCTAATTACAGTCACACACACACTCACATACAAAACCTGAATTCAAATGCTTCCCTTGGAGGCAGACTCTTTCTCTTCACACTCACCATCATCTAACACCATACACACGCACACAACGTCCCACAGGCACCCCAACACAGAGACATGCATATAGGTAAGCACACACACACAGAAACACACACAAATGCACATGCAACCACTTGTACATTTGCACACATACATGAATAGCCACACACACACAAGCACTGTCACATGTATACTCTCCCACACAGACACAACCTTATGCACACACACACACACACACACACATACATCCAAATACCCATATGCACACTGACTCACACATACAGCCTTACACAGAGACACACAGACACGCACATGTAAGCATTCATCTGCATGTACACACTCACATGGGCACACAGTCACACCCATTCTCTCTCTGTCACATACACATCATCGGAAAAGGTGGCCCAGAGGTTTTCAGTGTCCGTGGGTTCAACAGATGATGGGGAGTAAGTCAGACAGAGACAGAGACAGAGAAAGGCAGGGAGACACAGGAAATGGAGGGAGGCTGGGGGAGAGAGAGTATGCCAAACCAGTAAGCCCACCAAACAGCGGCCTATCTCTTATCATCTGTGGTCAATTCGATAGGACTTTACACCTTATTTCGTATCATTAAGGCAAACAGT